GCTTGTCCACAACAATATGAACATTGCAGAACCACTCCAAGGCTAAGTACAGACATTCAGGAAATTAAATCAGGTTCAAAATGGCCACCCGATTTAAACTTAGCTTGCCCCGGTGCCAATCTTACACTTACAGACCCAGTCTCTGTGACCGGCAATCAGTCTAAACCATAACTGAACAGAAGGTCCGTGCACACAAACCGTTCTAAAAATTGCAGAACCTGGTTGAAGATAAATCTGGATCTACGTAGTATCAGACTCATTCAATTTAGGTCAAATGGGTGCATGGAACTTCTGTTCTGCCCACTTCCCCTGTGCAGCCCTGGGGCTGGGAAAACCCAGCCGCTGGCCCCAGCCCCAGGGCTGCTTTTTTCACTACCTGCTTCCCCTGCACTGATCTATTTTTTGTCCACCGCAAGCTTTTTGCTTCCCCACCCCATCAACAGTCAGCCCTCTCAACCTCCATTTCACAAGCCGCTTCAAGTGCAGCCACTTTTATCAACGTTTGCTGCTGCTGGAGCCAAGCAAGTAAGTCCTGGTGGGGAAGGGGTGGGAGAGATGTGGTGGGGATGACGCTGGTCCCCACCACACACCTACAGGTCATGGGTACCTCCCACATTTGAAAACGCTGAGAAATTGACTGGCCTACAGGAAACTAAATGGCCGCAGGTCACGCTTCCCTCCCTACCCCACCCATGGGCCACATCTGTTCGCCACTCCACCCTGGGGTTGCGCCTCCCCTCCTCCCCCACACATAGGCTGTGCCTGCCCACCATCCCCTGGCAGACCCCCAATACCCTCCAGCCTGCTGGACCCCTACACTCTTGGCTACCCCCCCATCCTGACTTACCTGATATCAGGCAGCTATTTTGAATAGATTTAACCTCCCCACAACACCCTCAAATGTCTGTACTTAGCCCAACTGTAACACTGGATGAAGCTGTTAAATTTGGAGTGGTTTTGCTACGTTTGTATCCTTCCCAGTGTTTCCACAATTAACGGTTGGAATATACCAGGTGCTGCCCTTCTGAAAAAACAGCTTCCCGAGCTGCTAATGCCATTTCATTCCTGCTCTGTTCATCCTGCTATGCACCATCTCTTCTGAGTTACGTTCACATGTAGATTACAAATGGTATTTTGCATTATTTGCTTTCATCTTCCTATATTTTTACAGGACTGTTTGCACTTCTATGGCCTCTTCATCCATGGATCTTCTTTAATATGTAAATGTGGAGAAAGGAGTGTCTTGTCTTCTGTATTTCTAGGGTTGTCTTGCTTTCTGTATTTCTATGGCACCTGGGCTTTATGGTGCTACAATAATGTAAATTAGCAACCTAAATTACAAAATAATCTTCATGCTTCAGTCTGCATTTGAGGTGTTCTTTATAAAACTGGATAATTTGGGAGTTAAGTGTTTAGGTTGAGAAGAAGCAAAAGGCAGCCAGAAAGTTCCAGCATGTAGTGAGACCTCCCAAATGCCAGGCTTCAAGAGTGACAGTGGGGAGTTCCGGTGTTTGGATTCTTCCATCCAGATCAATGCTTTTGGGGACAATGACTTCAAAAATAGCAGTTACACCCAGGATTGACTCATGTTGGTCCTTATTCATTGGCCAATACTGTGCTCTAATTTCTGGGAGAAGCAGTTCCCAGAACGATATGAAGAACAAGTGGTGTTGGCTGGCGTGAGTGCACACAAATGGGATATGCTGGAGGATAGCCACAGACTCTTGGGACTTGGATATCCCTAATGTGATCTGTCTTTATGCAGGGCCAAACAATCAAATTACCAAATGAAGCTTGAGGGAATAAGGGGCATGTGTGGTGCCTTGGCATCATTTACTTGATAATGAAGATTCCTCCTTAAGATGTAGCAAATGTCAGGCATGGGAACAAAGCGATGAAAAAGCGAGAACCTAGGGAGCTATAGGTTAACCTTTGTGGTTTGAAATTAATGAAATCATTTTCATTAAAGAAAGAAATTGAAAGTTCAAATTATTCTGAGGCAAGTGTCCTCAATTAAAAAGACCTGCTGTGACTGAGTGACTCATGCCTTGCGAACACGTTGCTCCTACAGAAATGGTGGGGCAGAATGACAAAGAAGGGTGATGTGATACCACTCCGGGCATCTTGATGCTGGTTTATCTGGCGCAAGTTGAAACTGAACTTGGGGGAAACGAGGATGGCCATAGGATTACAGTACAGAATGAAGAGCTGAGAAATAGAGGCTCAGTTCCCAACTCTGCCACAGATTTTTCTCTGACCCTGGGACAAGCCACATAACTTCTCTGTGTAGCAACATCCCCATCAGTGTATGTTGCCTACACAAAATGGGGGGGGACAAAACTGCATCCAGCACCCTTCACGCATACAAGTTGAGCCAGGATGCTGGAGTCAATAGCTCTGTGAAGTTAGCTACTGCAACAACAATTTATAAACTGTGAACAGGAAAATACTCTCCTGATTATATTGATTTCATAACCTGCCTGGCAATGCATCGTAGAGGATCCATCTAGGTTAAAGTGAGACTTCATAGGAGACTGTAGCTGCTGCTGAGGCGGTAGGGTATATATTTGTACAGTGGATTTCAGTGTCCAGGATTGTCCATGGAGCCCCTTGCAGGAGTCTCAAATTTAATTTTAATGGGACAGAACATCCCAATAGACGTAGAAACAGAAATTGTAGAGGCCTGTTTCAGAGTAGGTGATGCCGGTTGCACGGGGGGATGCAAAGCAGGGCACACCGCAGGCACTGGTCTCTGTGAATTAATCACCTCCCTAGGCTCACCAGAAATTGTTGGCAAAGGCAGAAAAATTAAATCAATTTAAAAAGTCTTGACAAAGGCCTCAGGGGCTAACACATCAGGGCATTCTCTGCTCTCCCTGCAATAAGGAGAGTTTGTAAATGGAACTTTTCTTTTCAATTGCTTCCGTTTCGTTCTTTCACTGGTGACCTCCTTCCTCCCCTCCCCTCCCCTCCCTGCCTTGCTTCCCTTGTTCCCACTCTACATCTAGACTGGTATTTCATTTATCATTCTCCCTCCCCCATCCCCTGGTGGCCTGGTTTCCCTTCATTTTATTTAATTGATTATAACTAATTGACTCTCACATTGGGGAATAGAGACTTCTGAGCTGGATGGCTTTTATTTTAGTTATTTATTTTCTAAGTTCTTTCTCAGGCCCAGCACTTAAGTCAAAGGCTCTTCTTAAAATAGCAGGAGGTTTATTAACTTTTACCCTTGTCCAGGAAATGAAAAGCAGAACTTCCAGTGACTTGTGAGGTGGCTCTACTGGGATTATATCATGGTGGGGTTAAGAGCTTTGGGGGAAAAACTGTCTGCTTCATTGCAAGCACATCATGCAGCTAGGTCAAAACCTGGTAATGGTGGAGTTCCATTCACAGGGGGGAAAGATAGGCATTGTACTTCAAGATAACTGCCTCTTCTGAAAGCAGTTTAAGAATAAGAGAAGCAGTGCAGGACCAGTTCATAGGATTTTCCAGGTGGGGTAGGAAAACTTAGGCATCCTTATCCTGGCTCTGCCATGGGATAACCATGGATCTGTCTGCATTGCAGAGCACAATGTAGTGTAACAATGCCCAAGCTAAATCTAAGCAATCTACCTCAAGTGTTTTTGATTCATAGGGTGGAGAGGGACCTCAAAGGTCATCTTGACCATCTCCTTGCCTGAATGCAGGAATGCTGTGGCAGCTATGCTGCTTCTGGTACAAGTACTAGCTCTGGTGTCTCCTCACTGTACTACAGTCTGTAGTGTAGACATACTCTAGCAAGTCATGGAGTGTGTGTCTGTACTGCACTGTGCATGGTTGTACACAGATATCTGGGTCAGCTTGGAGGAAGCCCGGCTGGGCACTAGAAGAGCAGGCCTGCATTTAGAGAAGCAAGATACATGAGCTGGAATGGAGCACTGTGTGATAACAGGTGGTTTTGCTTCTAGTAAACATCTACAGTTTCAGAGCTAGCTAAGATATACTAGTCTGGGTTGGACTATGCTAGGATAGGTATGCTGCACCATCTGTCAGAGCTAGCTTAAGTATCTGCACAGGATTGCATTGATGTGTGTAGACACACCCTTAAGAAAGCATGTGTACTTAATGCATGTTGTGGCTGCCCGGTAGGGGGCACTACTATGCAGAGCCACCCACCTCACTGTGCCAGACCTAAAACCACGCTTCGAGAGTCTCCCCGGGGGAGCCATTCCTCTTCCTGGAAAACACCTGCAAGCCTGGGGTAACACTGCCACCACCCAGGCCCTGGTCTCTGGTAGGACTCTGTGCAGCCCAGGGTACGCAGACCTTGTAAGCCTTGGGAGTGCTTTTGCCCACTGGTAATATTTCGGGGTGCTTCTTCCAGCCTGAAGCATCCAAAGGTAGCGTCCAGCACCAGAGGAAAATAGAAAGGCAAACCCAGCGTAGCTGGCACAGCTAAGGAAGTAATGAAGGTCTGTCTCTCAGCCACTTTCACAGAGAAACAGCCAGTCATGCTGCAACCCAATACCTTTATTGATCAGGGGGAGGGGTAGAACAAAGGAATAGAAAAAAAGCACTTTGAGCAAACCAAAATAAGTTGAACCTTTACAGAGAATGGGTTTGGGGACACTTTTAATATGTGTCTGAATTATTTAGTTCTAGTCTACTAGCTAGATTCCAGGTTTCTACTTACAAAGTTTCATCTACTCAGAGCCTAGGTACTCTGCTTGCTGCTTTCAAAATGCCTGCCAGAGGAAGAGAGTAAGCTCCCTCTCCCCTCAGGAAGTTTTACAGTCCAGTCACCTAGATGACCAAGTTAAACCACATAGCACACAGGTGAAAGAGGAAGGGGTGTGTGCAATGACCCAAGGCAGGGCAGAGAGGGAGAGATTTCTTCACACGTTAGCTGTCCTGTCCTAAAATCCTGGCAGAGACAGGGCATGGTAGGGTTACTATGAGGCCCATCATGCAAAGTCGGATGGGGTGAGGAGGGCTAGTGCTACCTCTCTTGTGGCAAGAAGTGCAAAGCACCTTTGTCTTCACTAGGATATTATGGCACAGCAATTGCCTTACTGCCTTAAAAGGAAGACAGCTTTTTGGCGGTGAAGATAGATTCTTTGTGTCTCTTGCTCTGCCATGGCGAATAACAGTATGAATTTTGGATGTAAAATGCTGTGAGATCTTTGAAGGGAAAGTTTATGTAAGCAGCAGATGGTTTTAAAAATAACTATCCTTATTGCTGAGACACCTGGCTGAGCTGGAGAAACAAAGCCCTACTTAATTAAGCTTTTCAATACAACAACTCCCTACTCCGGTTCTTTCCCTGGGAACAACTTTTCCCTGTAGTATGTAGGAGGGAGTGGGTTGCCACCCATGAAAGCTAAAGGTCTTTTTGTGTATCAACAATATTTGGTGGTTGGAGTGAATAATTCAGTGTGTTTTTCATATTTTATTTACTGCTTTTTCCCCAGTTTCTGCTGCCTTGAAGCCCTTGTAAGGGGAGGAGGAGTAAGGGAGTCCTTCATTTCTGAGCAGGTCCTCATCAAATTGCTGGCACAAGTATTTATTTTAGATGGTCTTGTTCTGATTTTAGAGAAGGGGGGGAGTTGCTAGTTTCTGTGTGGCACAAAGCTATTTTCATTAATCTGTTTGTTTTCCTTACGCCCTCCTCTGTGCTGCTTGGTGGTGACTGCACTTGTTTCCCTGTTTCCTTTGTGAATTAGGAGTAAAATATGCAGGTTTCCCGCCCTGCTGAGAAAGGTGGAGGTTTTTTTCCCCTTGCTTTTTGTCTCAGCCATGTGCTTTGCCCAAGCTCGCCATCTGCTGGAAGACACGTCGCCCCTGCCTGGCATGGCTCTGCAGAGCCAAACCCTGCTCCAGGGAAATCAGAGCTATAAAGAAGTGATGGCTTGCAAATTTCTGCCTCGCCGGCAAGCTGCCTCTTCAGTCCGAAAATGCAAGAGCCCTCTGCCGACTTGGTGTTCATTAGCTCGTGCAAGTGTCAGCTCCTCTTGGTCTGTTTGCATGCGGCTGGTGTCCTTGCAGCAGTGCTGGGGAGCGATTTTCAGAGCTCTTGCTGCTTGTCTGCTTTTCAGTGCCTTTCTACGTGTTCTCCCAGGCCATGCTGCCCCCACCGCTTGGTTTTTCCTGGATAACTCTCTTCCAATGCCTGAAGAAGGGCTATTGCACCCAAAAGCTTGCAAAGAACCGTTTTTCCCCAACTACTCAGTTGGTCTAATAAAAGTTATCACATCTACCCAAAAAACCTTGCCTGCCTTTGTCCTCAGACCAACGCGGCTACAACCAAAAACCCAGTTCTGATGTCGTTTGCACTCCACTTCTATTTTGTGTCTCTGCACCTTGACCTGACAGCGAGCACCTGGGAACCAGCAACAAGGCTGGAGGTCACAGCATTGGGAAGAGGAGGAGGTCTCTCAGCCTTTATAGTCCAATAGGAGATTATACGAATGTGCTGAGGTCTTGGGTTGCGGGGAGGGAGTGGGGAGGCTTTAGGGATGGAGGAGCAACATTAGGTCAGTTCAAACTCATGAGCCTCTTGCCAAAGCACCTCTGAAATCAGTAGTTTCCTATAGTTTGCCCACACCAAAATACAGGAACACAGTAACGCCTTTAAAAATAAATAACTGTCCCATTAGCAAGTGCATTAAGGGAATCAATTCCCAGTGTGAGCATAGAGAAATGAAAAGTTAGCTGATTGCGGACCCACAATATATATTTCTCTACGTATCCAAGCAAAGTCTAGTGATTAATAAATTACACAACTAGTTTCTGTGCATAGACTAGCTTTTTAAACTTATTACTTCAAACTTCTCTTCTGTTATTTGCTGCACTGTTATAGTCTGAAAAATGACACTGATTTTCCCCCAAACTTCTTCTGCCCAAAAATATTCTGAGCAGAAGTGCATCCCGTACTGCGACAGATGTCCACTGTTCTTTATTCCTTTTCTCTGTATGTATTTCTTCTGGGTCCTAATTTCTATAAGAAGCTGAATTTTTTTGTTCTGATCTCTTCACCCACAAAGCCCACTTGCTATTCAATGGGAGTTAAACTAGCCATTTAAACAGAGAGTAAATTAGCAATGTAGTTAATAAGTGCTACTTCATGAAGGCTTACATGGGTATGTATTTTTCCCCATATAGGGGAAAAACATCCCAGTGCCCCCACCAGGACACACATGGAAAGAAGCTTGTCATGACAATACTGTCACTTGGTTGGCATCTTGGACAGAAAACGTGCAGGGATCAGTCAAATATGTCATGCTGAATGCCAACTCTAAGCTGAAGGTTGGTCTTACTCTGCGGTTTCAGAAATAATCATCAGAAGCTAGGGAGTCAGAGGCCATACAGATGGCAAAGTGTCCTTTAAAATGCCTACGCCACTGTTTTCCATTGCAGAACATGCTTTTGGTGTGAGAGGGAGAAGTATGTATTGGACTCAGTCACAGCCAAGAGGCAAGCATTTGAGCACAGCAAATGCTGAAGCTGAGCTTCGCTGCCAGTTGTTTTGCTTCAGTAGTTAACGTAAAAAAAAAAATCAGAAGTTGTAGCTGAATTAGCTGTTTCTGCGAAGAGGCCTGAAGAGAGTAAATAGGCAAGACGGCTGCTGTCCTGTGTTAAATGCTGTCCGGGTCACAGCAGAAGGGTATTTGCCTCTGGGTAGAAAAGAGAGATGCTCTTCAATCTCTGATGATGGTAATCTCATATCTTGACTCTCCTATTCAGTCCTTGCCAGAGATAGCTTTGCCACTTGTAGGAAAAGGTTGCTGGGCTCCCTCATGCCATCTTGTTCTCTGTCTGTGCACGCAGAAGGCTGCTCTATGGCAATGCTGTGGGTTGGTAGGAGTCTCATGGTGCCAGCTCCAAACTGTTGTCAATATGAGGGAAAGTTCAGGTCTTCCTAGATTTTTCTACAGTACCTGGCATAATACGGCATTAACACCGTTCAGTGGCTTTGGGCACCATCACATTCAATTATTAGATGCCACTGGAGATAGACCTGTCATGTAGTCAAGTCTTGATTTTGACCTCTTGGCCTGTGGATGTCATGAATGAGGAAGTGAGTTTGGGCTCATGAAACTCATGCTATACATCTCTGATTTAGTTAGTCCATAAGGGGCTGATCTAACTTGCCCTGTGTACCTAATGCCATCCACCATGGAGCATTTGACTGAGCCTAAGGAGATACAGGACAGGTTTTTCCAAGCCCTCTGGATGATCTTGGGCAAATCAGTGCATCTTTCTGTGCCTCTGGTTCCTATCTGAGAAATAGAGGCCTCTTCTGGAAAAGCACTTTGGGATCTGCTGATGGAAAGTGCTGTATAAGAGCTGGAGGTTGTGACCCTCCTCAGTTCTGTTTGGCCGCAGCTGTGCTTCACCGAGGACTGTGGTGTCTGATTCCTGGCCAGGCTCCCATCACATCAGTCCTGTCCAGAGTATTTTCAAAAAATGGATTGAAACAAACCCTCCATCCACCCATTGCAAATCCCTCTATTGAGCATCTGAACTCGCACTGTGCGCCTGGCTCTTGGTTGCACAGTTTCTCTTCACAAACCCTTATTTCAGTGCAATGATTCTGGAATAATGGTCTCCTCGAGTTTAGCCCAGACTAAATTGTTCACCAGGGCGTGCTTTGGGCCCTATACGTTGTAAATGAAGCTGTACATCCCAAGCAGAGCCAGATGCTAAGATTTACCAAACAGGATCCGCAGCAACCCTTGGCAGTTGCTTACTATTTATGCCCTTACTAAAATGTTTTTTTGCAGATGAAAGACAGTTACAGTAACTGGTTCAACCAATCTCTGGGTCTATTTTAAGCTGCATAATGTACTGCTCCATATCCTTTGATTATAGCAGAGATTCCAGTCTTATTTGAAGAACCTTCCCCATGTGCAAATGCGCTGCAAGTGTTGCAAATATATTATTTACACCAGATACCGTTTTTTTCCATTGCTCTTTAAGCCAGTTCATCCACATCTCCAAGTTTCAGCCTGGAGAATGACTGTGGCTCCATCTAGCGGCTTCAGGCAGGTGCAAGGTAATATTTAGCTTTGCCCTGAATTTCTGCCGTTCATCAGTAACAGACCCAAGTCAAAAAACAGGGCTTGCAAGCTGATGCGGTTACTGCAGAATATTTAATTGTCTTATTTTAAGTAAGTCTCGTTTGAAAAATAGAGACTGGAGGGTCCCTTATATTTCCAAGGGAGTTCAGATGCTGCTGTTCTTTGACAAGTGCTTAGCAGTAGCTTGTTAGATCCGCCCTGTGCTTGCTTTTGTCTGTGAGTGTGAATACATTGGCGATCATTCAAAACCACCATATAGGGGAGATGGGTACATTAAAACCTGGAAATGTTCAGGGATTCACCAGACATGGCACATCCCTACATGTGTCAGACTGAGGAAAAGAGCCTTTATGAAGTCCAGTATTGGATTTGGATTCCAAACCTCCCAAAGACTTGGGGATATTTTGGAGCGAGCAGTTTGTTTGGTCTGATCTCGGAAGATGAAGTCACTTTTTAGTACCTTGTATTCTGCCTTTTAATTTGATTTCATTCTCTTCCCTTTTAGGGAGAAAAGGACTGGGAAAAGTATGATGTTGCCTGGAAGCTGAAGACCTGTGTGGACAGGATCCGGGCTCAGTACTGCCTGGACTGGAGAGCCAAGGAAATGAAGCTGCGGCAACAAGCAGTTGCACTTTACTTCATTGATAAGGTAGGAAATCCTGAGACAAAATGACCCCTGACTGAGACCCATGCTGAAAGTAGTGTGGGGCTGGATGGCTAATGGGAGGGCAGTAGGATGTAGATCTGATATCTCTGGTTCTGATCCAGCTTGCTAGTGGGGAAAACAACAACCTCGGTTGGAAATGATCTGTCTGCCAGCCAGTCAGTGGGATGGATGACCTGACATGACCTGGATGGCTCTCAGCTTTGAGGCTCTTGACACTGATTTGCACTGATGCTGACAGAAGGGAATGAGTTGGAAACTGAACTCTATTCCCATCCCTGGGTTTGTCTTGCCACTGCACCTGCTCTATGGGCGGACAAACCATCTTGGTCCCCAGAGCCATCAATACAACACCTTTCAGGAGCAGTAAGGGCCAGATGATTTTCTACTTTCAAGCACAGAAGTGGACGTTTGCACCCAAGTGTGTTTCTGTTCCACTCTACTCGAGTTGTGGAAGATCATTCAAAGCCACCGTATAAGGGAGATGAGCACATTGGCTTGTGATTCGGTTATAGGGGCAAGATGAGAGTGAAAGTAGATGCATTAGCAGATTTTGCAGGACTTGAACAGGGTAGAAGAGAATGATGTTTAGGCATGTACACCTACTTCTGTGCCTAATAAGCTATAACTGGGATAGAATCGGGCCCTAGGTTGTCTATTCTTAAAAATACGATCCTCCATTGCTTGGCAGGACCTTGAGCACTGAGAACCTATATGCATTTCTTATGACGGCATACTGCAGATGGCACCTGCTTGGTTTCTGAGGAAGACCAGGGATTGTCCAGCCTTCGCATTTGAGAGCACTTGGTGATCATGCATACCTGGTTGTATTGATTATGATCTGACATCCGAACTTCTCAGTGGAGAGACTGAGGCTAAAGAAGGTATCAGCTATGGTGAATGAACATATTTTACACGTGCACGCCGGTTAGAATTTGTAGCTCTGAAGACTTTTTAGTGTTGGGTGCCAGTGAATATAGGCATTTGAGGAATCCTGGCTTGTAGATGGGGGCACCCGCTGTATGGATGCACTAAAATGCATCCAGCCATGCAAATCTATTATAAATGTTGTGGCCATGTGGATTTTCTAAAACAACTGAGGCCAACGGAGAGAACCAGCATTTCCCGCAGCTGATATTTAGGTGGTTGGTTTGCTCACTTGATATATTTACCCATTACAGATAAACACTTCAGCAAAATTCCCTGTCTCTCTCTAGTTGCTGCTTGATACAAATGAGTGCTAGCTCTGATGATGGGGATCTTTTCATCTATCAATGGGAAATAACAAGCCTTTGCATTTTGGCATCTCCTTCAAAAGCCAAAACTAAGGCTGACTCATAGGAATGTGGGACTGGAAGGGGCCTCCTGGGCCATGAAGTCCATCTCCCACTTGTGCAAGAAACCTTTACCCGAGGAGCCCTTGAAAGCGCACAATTCATTCCCTTGTGCCAGGGTGAGGGCAGAGCACCTGACTGGCTGGCACGTTCGGTATTATATTGTATGACTTACACTAGAGGGCAGGTCATGGATTTAATGTCACGCTGCTTTTTTTTTTTAATCTTTACCCACCAATACGAATTCATTGCTGGAGAAAAGTATCAGGCTCCCAGCCCTAGAGAATGATGTCCTCTATCAAGTCACACAGCAGTGATGGGAGGGAGAGTGGGGAAGATCCTAGTGCTTTTGTTTTCATTTCCTACCTAAGTCTCTCTCAGATCTTGTTTTGAGTGAAATCCCTTGCCCAGGGAGATGCTGCAAAAGGTTATTAGGCTAACCCTCTTCACACTGAATTCTGCATGAATAATTCAAGCCCCTTAGTTAGCATTCAGCCACATCACCTCACTTGTCACTCACCAAAGGTTAGTGCTTCCATCGTTGTCCAACAGAACTTGTCCCCAAGCACCTTCCTTCTCCTTCACTTTCCGTCCACCTCCCTTATTATTATTTTTTTTAAACAGGCACCGGTTTGATGAAGATACTTCTTGGCTGTGCTAACTCTCTTTTTCTTGTTCTTTTTCTTTTTTTCAGCTCAGTCCCTCCAGGCCCCTCTGTTGTTTCTGGTAGTTTGAGTGGCTGCCACTGAACACAGTGTCTTCGACATCCTTCATTCTGTTGTAAGCTTGGGGTAGACCTCTGAAGTTCAGATCCACAATGGTGATTTCCTACCAGTGTTATGCAGGCTTCTGACTTGCATGAGCCCTTTGCAACAGGCCATCTGGGACCAACTCGGAGGCTTTTTGCACAAGTCTCTATCACTTGAGCCCAAGGAATAACTCTGTTATCTGGTAGCAGCAGTCTGCTCCCAGCCTTGGTGGACCAGCTGGCCAATGCCAGTTGCAACTCCCTGAGCATCTCCTGGGCGGGAAAGCTTGGAACGGGCAAGTTAACTCTGAACCCAGGAGAGCATCTTTGGCAATGGCTGAGACTCAGCCAGCTCTAGAGAGCAGGGCTTTATTTACTTCCATTCAAACCCCTATTACTCCCTGATCATCAGTAGTCATAGTACTTTGCAGTGTTTTGAAGCTTAAGGCCAATGACAAGTTAATGAGTTGTTGTCTAGGAAAGGAAAATGGAAAGGATTTAGACGCCTGGGTTGCATTAACTTTAATGGTGTCCCTTGAACCCTGTGTTGGGGGAACTTGGATTTAGCCCTCCAGGATGACTGCTGTGATCTCTCCCAGAAGCCTGAAACTCTCATCTAAATCACCATACAAACAGTGGTCGTTAAGTGAAGGGAGCACTTGGATCGGGACCCAAGAAACACTCTGGGTAGCCTAGTTTTTACTTCAGCAATATTTGAGGGAGGCAGGTTCACTTGGTCGCACTTCAGGAACCTCTTCCTTCTCTAGAGCAGCGGTTCCCAAACTCAGACAGATCGTCCACTGCCAATTTAAAACGATACAACCTTAAGTACCACCAGGACTCCCTTTCCTAGCATTTCCTACTTTCTCCTGAGCCTCATTGACAGGATGTTGCAGCCCTTTATTTTGGCTGTCTTGTGTCCTCTCCTTGTTCAGATGCACTTCATACTACTCCTTATTCCATTGTGCCTGGCTCTTTCTTATACGGGATAATATACCTCAACCCCCAAAATGGTGTCCTCAGGCATGGTTCCCAGGTAACTTTCTAGTGCATTTTTTCCTGATTTACATTAAGTGACTTGGATAAGTTGCATCCATTCCAATTCTGGAATTTCTTGTACGCTCATGAAGGCACATTTGCTTTCCATCTTCACCAGGTGCCAATGGCCATCTTTTCTTTAGTTGTCCTTCCACTCATGTCTTTCCAGTTTAACTGCCCCTGCTTGAAGGCTTTGGTCTAAATGAAAGTCATCTGATTTGAAAGCGTTTCTGTTACTCTTCACAGCCCATATCAACTAGAAAATAGGTATCATTGTCCAGTGAGTTAATCCATCATGAGGATATAGGTTGCTTATTCTCCATGCCCCTTCAGCACTAGAGGAAGAGTCGGGATTCCTTGGCGCTATTCCTGGTTCTGCCGCTGACTTCAGCTTCCCTGCTGTGGTGGCCAACAAGCATGCCCGTTTGTGATGAGTGAAGCCAATGGGAATGAGATCGAGACCACTCATTTCATTTCTCACTGGCTTGAGGATGAACTGGCCCATGCAAGGTGAACTAGTCTATATTCCATTACCAGTCTCTAGAGCCATGGAGCCTTCCCCAGTAAAGATGAACTGTGAAGATGATAGTTACTGAGGTTCTCCCAGGTTTGAGTCTGAGCTCATATAAATTCTGACAGAAAGAAAATGACTTTGAATGATGACCAAGACCTGAAAGGAAAAAGGGGAAAAAAAAGAAAACCAGAGAGGAATTTGGGAACATAGCTCAGAAAGATATAAACAGCAGCTTGAAAGCCAAGTTAGTAGTACACAAAGATGTAATGTCATTGCAGCTTGATGCTCCAGGGCCAGAGGCAACTTAGGTATGACACGTGCTGTTCTGTTTTTAAGCTGGTTTTCAGAGCAGGGAACGAAAAGGAAGAAGGGGAGATGGCCGATCCAGTCGGCTGCTGCTCACTGAGAGTGGAGCATGTGAAACCGCACCTGGAGCTTGGTGGAGAAAAGCACGTGGTGGAATTTGATTTCCTGGGTAAAGACTCCATCCGATACTACAACAAAGTGTCCGTGGAAAAGGAGGGAAAATGCAAAGGAAAATCACTTCTAAATGTGCGGGAGAAAGCTTGAGGTTGGAAATGGGGCTGGGACTGGAAGTCAGGAGGTCTGGGCTCTTTCTGGCTCTGCAACTGATGTCCTTTTTGACTTGGGGCATGTCACTTCTCCCCTACGTGCCTGTGATCATGAGCACTCCTCCCCTACATGCCTCTTACCCCTTTTTCCCCTCCGTTTATATCTTAAACTCCCTGGAAGCAGTAATTGTGGGGTCTGCACATGAGTGTGATTAATTTTTATTTTTAGGACTGATTTGCTCAACAGGCAAAGATGCTTTGGTTTAAACCAAGCTTTTTTTTTTGTAGTTTTACTTCAGCCAAACCAAAATAAGCCTGTGTTAAACAAGTCAGTCTTCCTTGTGCATTCCTCTAGGACGGTTTAAAATGCTGGTCTCTACCTCTCACTCTGCACAGCACCTAATCCTAGGTGGGACCTTGAGGCAGTACCATAATGGGAACACTCGCCCCATGGGGAAACTTCAGTAAGCACCCTTTTTTTTGGCCTTAGGATGTGATTCCATGCAAAGGGACTTTAATCTGCCATTAGTTTACTTTCCTAATAAAAACACTCCATTATTATGCAAAGGGAAGAGGATAAAGCAAGGCTGTCTTGTGCTAAGCAATAAACCTTTTGCATATGGTTATACGGCTATACTTTGCCCTTATAGTGCCTTTCACAGAAGGATCTCAAGACATTTTCCAGACGTTAGTTAATTAATCTCCATAACATCCGTGTGAATTAGGTAACTTATCTACTCTTTTACAGATGGATGAAATGAGGCACACAGAGGTTAAGTGCTTTGCGTGAAGTCGAGCAGTGACATGGAGGAAAAGTTGGGAGTGGAGCTGAGCGCCCTGGCACGGTGGTCTCCCACCGCTGCGTCGTTGTCTCAGGTCCCATTTCAAAGGAGAAGGGTCTAGAGTTGAACTCCGTATGTGTTTGCAAAACCTTAACTTCTTCAACTTCAAGGGAA